CTCTCTCTCTCTCTCTCTCTCTCTCTCTCTCTCTCTCTCTCTCTCTCCAGCCAGGTCTACTAAAACAGACTATGGAGCCCACTGTCCTCAAACTTATAGCAATATTCCTGCTTAATGTTCTCTAGGCAGGTGCTAGGATTACAGGTATGAATCACTACGCCTGGCTACAGTTCTTTAACTTTTTTTTAAAACATATCTATATAAGTTAATAATTAGTTAAAATATATGCTTACCACTTGGAAAAAACTAAAAAAAACTTGTGAACTAAAGTTGAAGCTGCTGCATTTGGATACAGTTGGCAAGTTCTGGCAACTAGCATTGCCCAGGAGACTCCACCAAGGAATCCCAGCATATTGGAATAAATACCACGACCTAGGAAAACAAACATTTATTAATTACTATTCAAGTCTATCATGCTTGAAACACAACAGAATAACTTCATTCATTTCTAAGACTGAATACAAACTGAAATGATAAGCAGAACATCACAACTAGGCTCAGAGTCAGTTTTGGAAACTTACACTTTTCTACTTATAGCTCTCTGTCCCCTAATGTACAATGACCTCAATTTCCTGTTTTAGTGCCAACTGTTCTGATTGATAATGCTACTGAAACTATTCCTAAATCCCCAGCCCCCCCCCATTCTGAAATATCTGCAGTTAAAGAGAGAAACAAACAGAAGACAGTAGGTAGGAAAGAACATTTCATCAGTAAGTAATCATATACATGGGTAGTATTTTAAAACCGACCATAAAGCTGGCAACAAACTTCAGTTTTGGATATCTCTCCATTGTGAACAACATACCAATGACATTAGACTCACTTGTGAAATGATGATTTTTTTTATAGAAATCTATGGGAAACTATTACCATACCATTAAACCTAGTGTGCCCTTATTACACATTGTGACATTATTTTATGTTCCAAACATAGAGGTAAAAATTCTATAAAATATCAGTTTAGACATGTTAAATATAAAAACTATTTGTGTGAAAATTGACAAAATATAGTTTAGTTTATAAAGAGACAAAATGTTCATGTTGTGGTTTTAATACAAATTACATGATCCCGATTATTCAAGGCTACAGGCAAATACCACTTGCGTTAGGCCCACAATATATAAACCAAAAGACTGATTCACTTAAATTATACACTTTAGTAACTTTTGGTGTACTTGTAGCTGTGCAACCACCACAATCACTCCTAGAACATGCTCATCACCTCCAAAACAAACGACAGCCATACTACCCCTTCCTCTGAATCTGAAGACCTGCGCAACCACCCATCTACCTTCTGTCTTTTATAGCTCTGCCCAAATTGTGGAAATTTTCATATAAATCAAAGCATACATGTTGTCTTTTGGATAACTTCTGGCACACTCAACAAAGAGGTGTCAACAATCATATAGTACTGCATTCCTTTTTATTGCAAAATAGTACTTGGCAATGTAGATACACCATGTTTGTTTATTCATTCATCAGTGTATGAACATGCAACTGTGCTTACTCTGGCTTTAGGAATGACAATACTATGTATGTACAAGATTTTTATATAAACATTATTTTACCTTCTGTTGAGAATTAGTCAATGAAATAAAACAAATTTAAAAACACCTTAGTTGGCCATTTCAAGTGTTTACCAGTTATAGAGTTAACTGGATCTGTCAGTGCATATAAATGTTCCCACAGTCAAAAGCTCGATAGGGAGCTCTGCAGGCTATGTGAAATCTCACACCTGAAGTGCAACACCACCTCAGTGCACTCACGAACCAAACGATGTCATTTAAGAACGTACCACATATATGATGGCGGGCTTTAGGATTATAATGGGGATAAAAAAATGTATAGAGGTAAAAGAGCAAACACCAGAAAGAAAAGAACCATCAAAAAAATTCAGTGACGTTGGCTGGAAATGAGGCTGGCTTCTAACTCCTCTACGCCCAGTAAGCATCCTCAGCACTCCACTGGAGCAGGGGTAGGAGCCACCACTCTTGCCTACAACCTCAGCCTACTCAACACCAGAATGATTTGCATGTGCCGCCATGTCCAATTTGTGTTGATATCATTACAAAGGAATTAAAAAGCTTTTAAAAATTAAGTTTACAACAAAAAATTACAATAAGCTAAGCTTAATTTATGATTGAAGAAAAAAACTTTTATAAATCAGTGAGACTAAAGTATACAGTGTTCATAAGTCCACAGTAGTGGACACTAATGCCCTGGGCATTTCCACTCACTACGCACCCAGACGCACTCACACCACTTTTGGGTTCAGCAGTTTCCATCTGTCATATGTGTCTCACACAGATCATTTGTATGTTTGTGTTTTTGCTGTACCACACTGTGTTTAGAAACACTTTCATGTGTTTCTCTACATGAAAGTACTTAGCACTGTCTTACAAAGGCCTGCATTATTCATACAGTTAAAAGGTTATATAGGTTTTAGGAGCAAGTTTACAGCAGGCTATACCAAAAAGGTTTATGTGAGTATGTGAGCACATTTAATTTTGGTTGCATGGCCACAAAATTATTTAATAATTGATTCTTCAGACCATTATCATCATCTTTTCTTTTAAAAATCATGTGTGTGTGTGTGTGTGTGTGTGTGTGTGTATAGTATGCATGAACATGTGTGTACAGGTACATGCACATGCAGGTCAGAGGAAGCCTGTGGGTGTCCTGCTTTAACTCCCTGCCTGATTTCTTGCCCTACGATGCTGAGTTACAGACACAGTCATGCCTCACATTTTGCATGTGTGTTAGGGATTCAAACTGAGCTCATGCAGCAAGTGCTCCTACCTACCGAGCCATTTCCTCAGTCGTCAGATCTCACCATTCCAAAGCAGGGTCTGAACACAGTTAGAAATAACACAGAATGACCCATGTCAGAGCAGAACTAGGGACAGGGCCTTTTATGAGTCACACACACACCTGCACATGGGAGGACAGAAAGTCACACATAGACCAGCACACCTGAAAAGCAGCTTTTCCAAGTTATTGGCCATCAACCCTCAATAGCATCAGTAAAGTCAGAGTCTTCATATGTGCTTCAATTACTGGCAACAGAAAATTAGAATTTTAGAACAGACACATAAAAGACTTGGGATACTTACGTTTTGCCCATAATTTGACTGCTCTTAGGGTGAGTCTAAAGGTTTCTTTATTTGGCACTAAGTGCAAAATTTCATCAGTAACTCTACACCCTGAAAAAGACAAAATATTGATTTTTCACTAAGGAACAAAACTTTGTCAATTCAAATTGTCTCCTAACCTTCAAACTCTCAAATGCTAAAAATATAAATAATAAGCCATGCTGCATTTAAAATTTTAAAACACATGTGAAAAGGTCCTTTACTTTTGAGAAATTTAAAGTACATGGGTAATGAAATCTAGTTCTGAAGTAGAGATGGGTCTGAGTTCCTTTTCAGTTTCTTCTCCATCTGACTTAATCACAATGCCTCCAATTGATAAAGCTGCTATTGTTTCAATACAATCCTTTCCACAGAGAAGTGTAATTTACTAGTACATTCAGGAAAACAAAATAAAGTGGACACAGTGGTGCTCACCTTTAATCCCAGCACTCAGGAGGCAGAGGCAGGCAGATCTCTAAGTTTCAGCCCAGCCTGGTCTACAGAATGAGTTCCAGGACAGCCAGGGATACCCAGAGAACATTGTCTTAAATATCAAAAACAAACAAAAAACCAAAAAATGTAAAGCAAGAAACTATAAATCAGTGGCTTTCAAACCTGAATAATCTGTGAGGTCAAATCTATCTTTATAAGAAAACTACATCTTTCATTGCCATTTTCACAGTATGTTAACTTTGCATTGATGAGGTATTGGCAATAATGGCTAAAACTACCTTAGATGTCTATCATGGCAATGGCAACCACGTATACAGGTATAAAATGTATCTTCACTACTATCACAGTTGAGAAAAACAACCAAAAGGAAAGAAGTGTGTCATCATTTTTGTTGCATTTTAAAGGAATATCCAGTTTCTTGAAATTGTAACTGGAAGATCAACAAGATTACATACTGGGTATTCAGTAGATAATATCTGAAAACTTAGGTAAGTTCCTTGCCTCAAGGAAAACAATGAAATTATTTATTATGGGTTAAGAGAATTTAAGCTTTCAAGTTATATAGTTATAAATGACTTATATCTGCTATTGTGAACCTGACAGCTTCTAATACTTTAAAGACTCTTATGACAGAATTGGTGCTAATATTAATTAATCAATACAATTTAAAATCCACTTCATGGTGAAATCTGTGCTAACATTTGGAAGGTAAAAATAACTTCGAGAACTAATATTTTCCAAATAGAGTACAATAGTTAAAAAAAACAACAAACAAAAACAAACAACAGGCAAAAGCAAAAAGGCATAAGACAGATCACTGGATATTAATGTGACAAGGTATTAAGGTAATCAGAAAACAAAATCTATTATAAATATAGGGCAGCATTAGGCTCCCTGAATACAGGTGACAATGGTGTGGCTTGGGCAGTATGTGGGGCCAGTGGCAGTGGGATCAGAATCTAATTCTAATGCGTGAACTGACTTTGTGGAGACCATTCCCTGTGGAAAGATACCTTGCTCAGCCTAGGCGCCAGGGTAAGTGGGGAATGGCTTAGTCCTGCCTCAGTGAGATGTTGGGACAGACTTAGCTGACTTCCCAGGGGAGGCCTTACCCTACCTAGGCAGTGAATGGTGGATGAGGTGGGAAGAATGGGAAGAGAGGAGGGAAGGGCAACGGGAATTGGTATGTAAGAAAAAAAAATTATAAAAAATGTACTACTAATTTATATTTTTTCTAGTGAATTATAAATATTTTAAACAACTGTTATTAATCATGATATGGTAAATACTGACATATAACCCAGATGAACAAATGTATTTTGGGGTTCTCAGTAAATGTTAAAGGTTTATGGGGCTCCTACAAACTAAAATAGTTAAGTTTATGAACCACAATTCTAAACTTAATCTTTCAACTACATGACACTTTTTAGGATGTTTAAATGTGATCATACTATTTTTAAAAAGAAAATTATGACTAAATCTTCTGGATTTGGGACACAGGAATGCAAGGTCTCTCACACACTAAGCTCGTGCTCTGAAACTGAGCTGTATTCCAACTCTTCTAGATCGTTTGAGCCTTAAAATAGTGCATTAATAATTCTGCAAAAAGGCTCTATTTACTTCATTGTTTTCCAGCAGGCATCTAATATTTCTTTAGAAACTTACCATTTAAGCTGCGGATACACCGTATATCAAGGCTTCTTAGGCGAGAGTCATCTCTTAGATCTAAATTATCTGATATGGTTTGTATTGCCAGTCTTGCAAAGACTAGATCAATCTTTGGAAAGACGTAAAAAAAGAAAGAAGATAAATATTACTTTTCATTCTCCTCAGCCCCAACTTAAAGCGTAAAAAGTTCCAATTGTTAATTTGAGACATTCTAATGAAACATCAAAAGGTCTAAGAAGGTGACTGAATGTGGGACAAGTACTCTAAGTCTTGAAATAAAGAGGAAGATCCAACACACGTTTACATTTATCCCCCTCTTGAAATTCAACTAAAGTATTAGGAAAATTTGCTTTGGTTTTGGTTTAGTTTGTTTTTATCTTATGGCATAAACTACTAGGAAAAACAAAACAAAAGAAACAGCAGCAAAAGGCACAGCAGCTGGAAAGCAGGTAGACAGAAGGCAACAGACCCAGTAGACCAAAGAAAACAGATTTAAACATTTTATTTGGGAAATAAGGACAGGTAGCTACAAATAAATATATAAATAAATTTAAAAGAACATTTAGAAAATATAAAAAGTATTTTTAGAAATCATTGCAAAGTTTGAAAGACAAGATAACACCAAAAGGCAGAATAAAAAATATGAAGATGTGGTTAGTAAGTGAGAAAGAAGAATTTTGTGTGTGCGCGCACTTTTATTTATAATTTATAGAAAGCTGTTCTGGAGACTCAACAAACAAATGTTAAGATTCCATAAAAAAAAGACACATGTATGCAAACAAAAGCAGGAAATTTAAAAGAACTCAATAAAAGTTCCAAGAACTGCGTTTCCATACTAGGACTACTGCATGCCAAGCACATCAATTAAAAACACACACCAAAGCATTTCATCATCATAAATTCTACAAGTATGCAGACAAAATAAAAACAACTAAACAAGATACAAAACTGGTCACACATACAAAGAAGAAAGACTAAAAATGGTATATTTTTCAACAGCACAGAAGATATAAAACAGTGAAGGCCTTAAAGTATGTAAAAAATCATTTCCTACCTAGAATGGCGCACTCAGCAAAATTATGAATTCAGTGATTTTTATGCATGCAAGATAAAAAGAAAACAAATTCTTTTTCAGAAATCCAATGGATGAGCTCCAGTAAAATGGTACCATGTATCTAGAAAGAAGAACATTCTAGAGTAGGAATAGAAACTTTCAGGAAGATGGTAGAGAGAACAAGATGCCAGCTGTGCCAACATGGGCACCAGGCGGCTGAGACGAGAACAGGTGAGAAGATTCAGTGGACATTTCTCAAGATGCTGACGACCAGAAAAGACTGGGCTTAAATCAGACATAAGTATAACAACCAAACTAACAGAACTAATCACTAACTCCTGAGGAGAAAATGTGCCAAAGCAAAGGAATGGTAATTCAGTACACTCAGTGCTGAGCTTTGAAAACTGTTTTAAGAAAATGTAAACAGAACACTGTTCCAAATGAAATTATAACAGAGAAATTATTCTAGATGACTATGGGATGTGGAAGGTTGTATACAAAAAAACGTAAGGGGAGAGATGGAGACTGGTTCACTGTCCATGGTGAGTGGCCAAGAGAAGTGGGAAAGGAGGTGAAAATACGACTATTTAATTCTTTAAACTATGTGCTGAGTGCCAGGACAGCTGGCACACACCTGTACTCTTAATTCCCAGGACATAGTGAGATTACTTCAAAACCCAAGCCTAAAACCAAATTCAAACAAAAATGTGCCAATGCTAAGTCTGATTTTAAAACAAAATTATAGGTTAAATATTTCAATTTTCAAATAAAAAATATTAAATACTTACTTCAATACCATCAAATTCAAATTTTATAACAGGCACAAAGGCATCTTCTACAGCCTATAAAAGAGAAAGACAAAAGTAACAAATGGGTTAGCCCTTTATCCTTCCTAACTGTCAATATAATATCCTATCTTTTTTTCTAATTTGTATTTTATTAAGTAAAAAAAGTAAAAAGCATTTTTGGTCTAATATGTAGGTTAAGGCCTTCTATTTTATAACGTGTGTAATTCAGGTCACAGGAATCATCTCTGCAGCTGCTATCTGATGTATCCTGTTGAGAATATCTGTCAGAAACTGGAAAACAGAACTGCTGTCATCTGGGCACTATTTGTGGGATCTAAATTGAAAATGACTATTACAAAAAGCGGTAAGTGTAAACTGCATGGTAAGTCACTCCAGTACTCAGGAGAGAGAAGCAGGGGGGCTCAAAAATTCAAGGTCACTGACCTTGACACAATGAGTTTGAGCAGGAGTTATATGAGAGTATTAAAAAAATTACAAAAAGCATTAGTGTTATTCAGAGCTCTAATATAATCTATCACACACACACACACACACACAAAATGCTAGGGGCTGGCTTAGTTCAGTACTTGACCTGAGAACACAGAGCCTGAGTTCAATCCACAGAGCCCAATATGGAGCACAATGGTGCACTGAGGAACCAGGAGGATCCCGAGAGCTCACTGACAGTAAGTTTATCCCAACTGGTGATTCTAGGCCAATGAAGCCTGTGTCTGACAGGAGGTAGACAATGTTTTTGAGGAGGACACTCAACGTTGTCCTATGGCCTCCAAAAGCAACACACCAAGTGTATGATCACCCCGCACACTTGCAAATACATACATACAAATTATACTGGTAGAACTGTGGCCAGTGTTTTATAGATTGCTAGTATGGAAAGGTTATTGCTAAATGAAGGCTAGATATACAGGGTCATTAATGGAATCTTACACAGACTATTCTCCACAATTTGATATATACCAACCATTTATCAAATGTTATAGCAAGTGGTTTGAGTCTACTATCACATTAATCCTCAAAAATATCTCATAAAAGTTATTACCAAATCTCTTATTTTGGAGATGAGAAACCCGAGGCTCAGACGGAGAGCTCAGAGCTACAGGTGTAGAGTCTAGATATAAAAGCAGTCTACAGAGCTATGGACTCCTGTTCCTCATTTCTGTGTATCTTAACAAGATATAATAACTTAAGAGGTATGTCAATAATCCTAAGCCCTTGCTTTTACAACTGTTTCTAACTTCAAAATATTAAATGTCAAAGGATACTTACTCTTAAGTTTCTAATGCCATCTTGATGTTTCAATTTTTCAAAAAAAGATTGAAAAAAATCTGATCTCTCCACATGTCTTGGGGCTACACAGAGTGCATCAATATCAGCTCCTACAGAAATAAAGTGATTTCTTAAGAAGGATATCTAGTATTTTCATTAAAGTTTACATAAATACAGAACTAAGTATGGAAGATGAGCAATGTTTATTAACAGTAGTAAGATAATGGGAACTATGTTTCTTACTCACTAACTGTAAATAACTAAAACAGTTTACTAAAAATTATTATCACTAGAACATAAATAAAGAGCAGTTACCTTTGGTGTGTACTCCAAGCCTATAAGATCCAAATGTGAAAATTTTACCACCAACAGTAGCCACAACAGAAGGGGGTAGATTCTAAAAGAAAAGGCATTCAATCACTTAAATTACTTTCCACCTTAATGTTTACAATCTTTTACAAAACAACTGATATACTATACATTTCTCAATCTTGGTTAAAAGATTGTATAAAATTACTTTAAGGCTCCTTTAAACAACTCAACTATCAAAATTTTGGTCAAACTCATGTTCCCTTTTCGTTTCTGTTAAAAGTATGTTTAATTGTTTGACATTAGCATTTATTTCAACCTTCTTCAAGAATGAGGTCATTCTTGATGGGAGTCAATAAATTTATTAATGACTTACATTAATAAAAATAATAATTATGCCAGGACATTTAAAATTTTATTTTACTTTTCTATGTAAAAAAAAAATGATCCTTGCTGGGTATGGTAGTGCACACCTTTAATCCCAGAACTGGAAGGCAGAGGCAGGAGGATCTCTGGGAGTTTACGGCCAGTCTGGTCTACAGTAGAGTTTAATGACAGTCAGGATGGCATAGACACTGCCTCAAAAAGAGAAATAGGACGATCCTTGCATGTTTATGAGAAAGTGATATGCTCAGTTACAGGATAAAATATCTTTATATGGCTACAGAACTTAACCAAAACTGTTTTATCTATGTTTTAGACTAGAGTATCTATCTCAACAATATTCAAATGATCTTCGAATTAGCTCAAATCCTCCAGTTATTTCCCAAGTTAGAATATACATAAAAAGTATGCTATTGATACAATGACTAGCTACTCTACCTACTGGATAGATGTTAAAATTAACTTTTTGTTTATCCATGACCAACATATCATCTCTAGAACCTAACTTATCCAACGACCTTAGCTAATGATATACAACTTTCCTTGAAGCACCAGAAATGAGTCAGACAGCCTTTTCCAACAAAAGTAAATAACAAAGATTAGATTAAATTTAATGACTAAAGTCTTCAGTCTTTAGAAGCTCATTGCCTTACTCTAAGTTAGAAGAAACAATCCTACAAATTTATCCAAAGTATAAGATAAGTGAGAATGCTAAGAGAAAATTTCTACCTCCATGTAGCTCATAGGGCAGAAAGAGACTTTATAAGCAGATACACTGAAACATTCACATGAAACTGGGCACTGCCAAGGGAAAGAGGTGAGAATACTATATGAACAAACAGAAACACTTACATTTCAAGACTTGGGGCTATTTGGTGAATGGGCAAATGGTTTACTCTAAGTAGTGTTCCTGGCAGCGTTGGGAAGCAGTGAGGATCTTAGGGAGGCTGGGCTGACTGGGAAGTGCGCCCTCAACAGGGATTAGGTAGGACGCCACTGACTGTTTCCTAGATAGAGCTGTAACACTTGCTCTGACATTCACTCCACTCCTGTTACCACCATCTGCTGCCCCCGCCTCCCGCCAACACCACTAGCTCAAAACTTTAGAGTTTTTTGAACTTGGATCTGAACCTCCAAACTGTAGGCTAGCTTAACCTTTTCTTCCGAAATATTCTATCTCAGGAACTAGGTATAGTGCTAAGAAGCTGACTAGAAAAACTTTTACCACCTAGTACAACCAGTAAAATACTCATGATAATGCATGCAACAATAAAGAAAACTCATAGCCAGGCAGTGGTGGTGCACACCTATAATCCCAGCACTCAGGACACAGAAGCAGGTGGATCTCTGTGAGTTCAAGGCCAGCCTGGCCTCCAGAGCAAGTTCCAGGACAGCCAAGGCTACACAGAGAAACCCTGTCTCTGGGGGGCAATCACGGGGGAGAAAGAAAAAAATTCACAATCCAACACTCTCTAAAAAGGCAGAAAGATGAGGTAAGTTACAGGAGAAGAATACTGCATAATTATAAACTAGGATTTGCAAATTCTGTCCTATGGGCCAAGCATCTGCAATGAAGAGAATTCCACACGAGAAACACAGAAACTAATAAACGGCACTCGTGAAGTCAGAGAAAACAGAGATAGTGGGGGCTATGAGGCACTGGAGAGCAGGAACCCAGTCTCATTCCAGCCCCATTAAGCAGGACTCAAACACAAGCTCAGTGTTGCCAGATGGGACACTCTGTTAAGTCTAAAGTCTGATTTTTAAAGTAAAATCCCCTCAAACTGAAAAGTCTAGCTTAGTACATGTGAGTCAAACTAGACATGTTTATAGATTGGCAGCAACACTTGGCTTTCTCTGGGGTAAAACCCTATTTATTTAGAAATTCAGTTGTCTAGGCCACTTTATTCTCAAATATATTAGAGAGCCTGGTTTTTGTTGTTGCTGCTGCTCAATGTGGAAACTGGTGGCTAACTTATTGTAAATCGAAATGGAGGGCTACAAAATTACAATATTCATTTAAAATGAAATACTTATATAAAGATTTTGATATAGTTGTAAGATATGAAAGTCAAAAACAAATGGATTAAACCTGTGTTTCATTTACTCACAACCTGGCACATACTTTTACTATTCTGCAAAAGGACAATCACAACAAAGAAAAAGAAAACTGCCCTTTGCAAACAAGGCAAACAACATCCTTCCAAAAGGTACAAAGGTAGACATCCATATATTGTATGGATGTAGAATCTAAAGCACTTCAGATACTTTGACTCTTACACACCATTGCTAGGATGAATGGCTACAGTATGAAAGAATAAATTCTATGCAGTTTTAATCTTACCTTACTTTCACTGATGTCAGAAATCCATTCTTTCACTAAATTGTTTAATTTACCAAGAACAACCAGCCTAAAATAAAAGATGAGAACTTTTAGATTTACACTTTAAGTCAAAAACAAAAACTAAATGATTTTAAAAAAACACACAGGTAAAAACTTTGCAATGATGCTATGTTAAGTCCATATTATATATGTGCTAATGCTATCACATCTGTTGATATACAGCACATCTGAGAGATCTAAGGGTGCCAGATATGCTAAATGTGCTGATAATACTTTGTGGTCTTTGAGTTGTCTTTAAAAATTAAAAAATCTAATATAAATCACAAAGTTACCTTTAATGAGGTTACAGAGACAGACTTAACTGTCAGCTCTCTGCCTTACTACAGAATTACATCAATGCAGTGTGATACTAGAGACTATAGCATTCTCTCTCATTGATATTCATGGGATTTTGTTTAATTAAAAGAGGTTAACTATTGGCTAATTGTTATGAAATAGTACTTAACTAAAGTAGTTTGGTATTATTAAATTTAAAACCAATGGAACACATCCATATTTAAAAATAGTGTAGGCATCCTACAAATACATGGAACATTATCTCCTGATCCTTACAAACTTGCTTCCTTTTCAGTTTTCCCCCAAAACGGAACTTCATCCAGTAAAATGCAGGGAAAATCTTGGAATCATCTTTGGAAACTGTTTCTATTTGTCATTAAACAAGCCTGTCTTTAATACATCTAGATTATATCACTTATTTCTATTGCCATCCTCAGGTTTCAGATATTTCTAACCTGGGTTATTATAATGACCTTCTAACTAGTCTCTCTGCTTCTGCTCTTGTCCCCTGGCCCCTGACACCCTTTATAGACTATTCCCAACACAATGGTTGGAGTAACTGTTAAAACATGAGTCAGATCATGCCAATCTTCTACTCAAAATCCCAATAGGCTTCAATTTCCGAAAATTTTACAATGGCTTACAAAGTACCCTTGTCCTCTAAGCTCCTTCCTTTTGCATTCTTTGTCTTAATCTCTCCCATTTACTTGCTCTGCTTTAAACACCCAAGATCTTTTGCTATGTACTCCTTGAATATACCAACTACCCCTCACCTTGGGCTTTCTGCCAGAACACACCTCCTTCAAACACCCACATGGCTCCCTTCCTCAACTTTAACGTTCTCCTTAAGTGTCTCTTTCCATGAGGGCTTCTCTAAAGCTGTCTACCTTCAAATTTATTTTTCTCACCAGTACTTATCATGTATAACACTATAATTACTTATTTGACTAGTTGTTAGTCCCCTTTCTAATCCCTATTAAATATTTAAGTTCCAAGACAGCCAAGGTTTTTCCTTTTTTTGGCATTTTTATGCAATTAGGCAGGAATTATTAAACATTCAGTATGTATGAGTCAATGATTAAATAGTATACTGTAAAAATATTTTATAGTTTCAATGGCATACCTGTGGTTCAATTCTTCCTCATCTTCAAATACTCCAAATGGTTTCATGGCATCAATTAATTTCTGTGTATAAATATGATCAATTTCCTTAGGACATGCCAAACTAATAGGAGAGGTAATTCCATAATGCTTTTGTTGACGCTGGCTGTCCAGCATGGTGTTTCTGTTCAAGAAAAAAGAAACAGAAGGAAGAAAATTTAAGTATTGTTTCATACCAATACACTGAACCTTTTAATCTAGTAAGGTTATATGAGCCACATTAAAAGTTTGTTAACATTACCAAAGAAGCCACTTAACAAAAGGGAAAGGTGAGTATTTGGTCTTCATGAAGGGTTTTTCACACAGCCTCCAGCTTTCATGGTTGTCTTTTGAAGCCCATAGCAGTATATACTGGCATCAAGACAACTGTATCAACACCACTCAGTTCAAATGCAAAGAGCCCCAATGGGACCAGTGCCAGGGCTACCTCCATTATACCCCGCAGACTGAGTCAAGTACCATATAGATTACAGAGTCTTTGAAAAGCAGTCAAACACTTGAAAGACACTCTTAGTAAAAACAAAAAGAGTTCCAACAAGTAAAGGAGCAAAACATTCCATCATAAGGTCTTTAGGACACACTTTAAAAAGAAATCACAACTATGCTAGACTTTGGGAAATCTACATAAACAAAATCTTTTCCTTGAATCAGAACTTACAGTTCTATTACATTTAGATTGGAGCTCATACCATCTTCACACTGAATAATTGTTGAATTTTTTACACTAAATAGCAACATTTTAAAGGATACAAGTGACCCTTAACAGACCTTACTCAGTAGGAAATCACAACCTTGAATAAAGCACCACAGATTTCTGACTACATCTATGACTAAAAGATGTGCTAACCTGCTAACCACTTTTCTTCATACCCGCACAAAGAACTATTTAGAACAATAAGAATGTAATCTCAAAACAAATGGCGGTCTTTTAACTATAGTAAATTGGCCCTTTAAAAAATAACAGAGGAACACAAAGATTGAAAAATGGGAGTCATAGCAGCCCAGGCCTCTAATCCTTTCTTTTAGAAAGTTGAAGAATCTGAATTCAAAGCCTATGCTATATAATAACACCTTTTCACACACACACACAAAAGTGTAATCGGATACTAGAATTTCTTTTTTGAGACACAGTCACTACGCATCTCTGGCTGTCCTAAAATTCTGCAGACCAGGCTGTCCTCTAATTTAGAGATCCACCTGCCTCTGCTCCATGGGGCTGGTATTAGAGGTGTGAGCCACTATGCATGGCTCTAGGATTAACTTCTAATATTCTATAGGCCAGTAGGGCAATTGTGATTAATAATTGTATTACACATATTTACATAATGATCAGCAAATGCCAATTACTTTAAATTGATCATTATATAAATTATGTACAAATGTGTCAATTTAAAAATTTAAACACCACAAAAATAAAACAGCAGTTAATTCTTTTTTCACTAAAAGCTTAAAACATGGGCTTGGGGTTGGAGGCACAGCTCAATGACAGAGTGACATCTAGCATGTGTAGGGCCCGGAGTCCTATCTCTGCACCAGAAACAAAACAACAGTGACTTATTACTAGTTAGCCTACAACCTAAGATGTCTCTGTCAGCTGGAGATTTTATTAGGTGGGGGAGAAAGGATAAAATAGAAGATAAAGATAGTTGAGCCAGGTTTGGTGGCTGGTGCAGGGCCTAAACCCAGCAGCCCAGAGGTAGAAGCAGAAGCAAGTTTGGGCTGCCCGAAACCTCACCTCAACAATCAGCCTATATACCTTTGAAATGACTTAATGAAAACAAGGGGGGTGTCAAAACCAACTTCAATTTCTCCCCATTTCATCTTGCTGGAGAACAAACAAAACTTCAATTAATTATTTCAAGTTGTATTTCTCCATAAAGATTTGCTTTTTTCTACCTAAGAGATAAGGGTGTTTGGGTATGTTTGTGTATGATAAATACATGACAATGACAGATGTTCAATATCAATCCCAAGAACTCATGGGAGGTGGGTCTCAACCTCTTCCCACGTCTCCCTATCCCTTCCATGACTGCTTCAGCTCTGACAATATATCCTTGTTGCCTTCACTTGAATCTTCAAAAAGTTGGCTATCTAGGGTTCCAAATTCAAAATCTAGGGTTCTGAACCCTTTTTGTGGGAAAATAGGGAAATAAACCACACACCCCCCCATACCCTTCAACCTATCACTTTTACTTATAAGACCTTACAAAAAACTTTACTGCAGGTACACAAATAAGCAAATAGAATGTTCATCATTGACAAAGTCTGTTTTAAAAAAAAAATCCTTTTAAATAACCTAAAATCGTCACTAAAAGTACTGCTGCACTGGGGTGTGTTTATAAATGGAATACATTAGTTAATAAGAATTAATTGGAAATGAAAACAGTAACAGAGAAAGGTCAGAGAGAACATGTTCTAAAGAAGCAGGCTGCAGAGTACTGGGATGCCACCCATAAACAGTTTAAAACAATTACAATGGTCTACGGACACCAGAATATGTATTATTAACATTAAAAATGCAGCAACAATAACCACCAAATTCAGTACTCTGGGGCCTTGAAAGAGCGGCATGAATGGGATCAGAGAAGGGTTAGGCAAGTCCTGCTGATGTACTGGAATGCTCGACCTCTTTTAAAGAAAGATTAAAGAAGGAAGAACACACCCCACGTTGTTCTTTGGGAGAAGCGGGTGGTGGTTACACAGATGGTGTTTTTGTTTTTCTGTGCATTTTCCTGCATGTTTAGATTACCTCCGGATAAAGTGAAACGTAGGAAGCTCTAATACATTTCTGGCAAGTACAGAAACTGCTTCTGACTTCTCTAAGTGTGAGCGGGGGGTGGGTGGGGGGGGGGGATCCAGCCCGGGAGACAGTGTGGTTCTGAGGGAAGGGGGCTCAGCCCTTCTCAGGGAGCAACTCCAAACCTGGGGCTAGGCTAGGTCACTCCCTCCGGAAGACCTAGAGATAGCGGGTCCGGCAGGGAGGAGGGGGAGGCAGAGGGATGATCTTTGCGCCAATGCAGACAGGAGCAGGCGGGCTCAGACCGGGCTGGGGCAGGAGAGTGACCGACCGTTTGTCCTCCTCAGCCACACGCGCCTTTCCCCCTCATCCTGGTCTGGGGGCGTCCTCAGAGGCGGGCGGCAGGGGGCTGACGGCGACTCC